AATTTGTCGTCACCGAACTGTTTGTGCTTATTTGCATGTTTTGATTGGTATTTTTTGTGAATTAATTGTAAATGACCTCCAAACTCGAAGTTTAAATTGTCAGAAAGAATCAGCAATAAGAAACTATGGGAGCAAACCAACAACAAGTGTGGTAGCCGAAAAAAATTTCGAATTATACGTTCACCGAAAAATAGTAAAAATAATTTTTGGTTTGTAGGGATTTGATTGGTTACAGGATTTCATCATGAGCTGACATTGGTTAGAAAACCACTGGAAAACCACCTGGGAGTACTGGACAGCTGTTTAGTCCTAAATTTGGAATTATCGGCAGTACGTACCCACCGCCAGAGGTTCGGACCCAGGATCTTCTGGTTACAAGGCAAGCTGGCTTGTATACCAGCCCATGAATTCTAACCTCCGCCCATTCACGACATAGCGCAACCACTTGGCAATGTCTTTCTCGATTAGTTACTGCCTCACCTTCAACCTGCTGCACCCTACTGGTCACGACTTCTCACTAGAACCTCGGGGTAGGAATTCAAAGAAAATCGTGGTTGTTACGTGAAATCGAACAAGGACACAACCTGGTTTCGCTTTTTACCTCTATCCAGCTTCTTGCCTATCACGTCTATCAACCCTGCCTCGTACCGATCAACACATCCACGTTGACATACTTTGCTCCAATCTACTTTCTTTCTACTCAAGTGTTCTCCCGCAGTTGACATATTTTATGTGTAGTTGAGGATCTGTATACTCAAGAGAAGTGCAATTTCATCCCTATCATTTTGTACGTCTATATTTTGAGTATTTTGGGACTATTATAATTTTTCAAATAACTCCATTTTTGTGTATATTAACTTATGTGGACTGAATACCTACTATCCATATACATGTAAATATTTGTTCCGTCTTTTTCAATTCCGCATATAAACGAACTTAGCCGTTTAGTCCACTACAGCTCTTGTTGAGCATCAGTCAGTGATCTAAGCTAAATGGTTTTAACTTAAATCCCTCTAAGAATCAGACTATTAACTCACCTTTGATCTACAAGAACTTGTTTGTTCACATGGTACTTATAGCATAGGGCATGTAGGGCACCAAAATAGAAACTAAGTCAAGCGTCCTGTGACCTTTCTTAGTCGTCTCTTATCTTTCAGATTTCGATGAAGATGTTCCATCGAACCTTTTACATTAAGAAGTTAAAACAATCAGGCAGGTATCACAGTTTGTTAACTCTTGTATCCTACCTATTTTACTTTCCTGCTGCCCTCGCCATTCTTGGTCTTTCCTGGGCTACTGAAAAAGGAATATGCCATATTGTGTGAAGGGTATTAAAGGTTGTTATTAGGGCAAGTAGTGTGTCACTAAGTCAGCTAATTTTATATTGCTGTAGTTGACAGACATCTAAACTCATATGATAAATTCATATGAACTGTGATCAAGATTTGACCGAATAGTTCCAAAATAATTGGGCGCCGAGTGAGAAGCAGACATTTGTAAAAATAATATTCGTAAAATCCCAGCGAAATTGAAATGAGTAATTCCAACAGTTTCGTTCGGCAATCCAGTCAGAACTTGTTCAGGGAAATTAATCGAAATTAACATAACAGAGGTTTATATATAAGAGGACTTCAAGTTACTGAGGAGGAAGAGATCAGCAGGGAAATAAAATTGGTTCAATCCACTCTTGAATCAAATAATTATTCCAGAGCATTCATAAAAGGACATTTAAAATGTAAAGATAAGGATGGATTGAAACCTATTGTTCAGAATTGGGTTAGAGCAGCGGTAATTCGTTACCCGCAAAGAAACTTCGGTGAGATAAAGCGAATCCTTAGCGATCATGGCATAAGAAAAGGCACAAACACCGAAGAAATTTTTCTTTTCGACGATTCATTTTCTTGAGCTGTACAATCGTAATTATAATTAATAAAGAAATCTTTAGACCAATCAGATACTGGTAAACTTTGTCCTTGGAAAATTGTATTACATAATGTAAGGTGTAAGAAGGGATGACTAATTGTAAGTTAGAAAAGAGACAGAAGTTGGCATGACGTAATAAGTGTGAGATAATGACTAATCAATAAGCTCGTGTAAAATGGACAGGAACTAGTGGAAAGTGTTTCTGTATAAAATATGTATGAAAAGTAATGTTATTAATAAACAGTAATAGAGTGGTAATAAAATGTGGATGATGGAAATAATATTAATAATAAAAGTATTAACAAAATAAAATAATAATAGTAATAATAGTGAGTGCGTCGGTGGTATAGTGGTTAGGACGCTCGCCGACCATGCACATGGTTCGGGGTTCAATCCCCGGCCGACGCACTCCTTTACCTCGCTAAGCCAGAAATAAAGCTGGTGAAGAGGAAAGGTTGGGCATGAGGCTAGCAACCCCATCCCGTAAAAATAAACACTGCTACAGAAACTTCAAGCCTCTAGCTTGAAGCCCTATGTTCCACTGGGAACGTGAAAGGAATAAAAAAATAATAATAGTGAACTTACATAATAAAGGAAAGAAGCAAAATTGTGGTGAGAACTTTACTCTGATCATGGTAAGGCGAGAGAATGTATGTATCGCTTTAGGATGCAGAGGTCCGGTTTCAGATCTCGAATAGCTAATACTTCAGCTATGTTCAGATGGCGTATCCGAAGTCTCTATGTAAGATATTGAGGGACTCTGTGTAACACTGTGAAGCATTCATGTGGGGCTGCTCGATGTCCAGAGATGACAAGGTGTTCAAGGATAAAGCTGTTGCTATTCTTCTTTTCTCCTCTGGCTGGCTAACCAAGCCGGACAGTGTTCCAGAATACGTTTATGGACTTGACGTTGGATACTTTGCTCCACACGAGGAAGTATATTGATAAATTCACATTGAAATGGCCAAGAGCGGTATCTTATCCTCAACGTTAGACTGGCTTAACTGTCTGCTGGAGAATGTGATATGTAAGGAGGCTGTTGGAAATGTCTTCTTCAGGCATTTAGAAAGGCGGTTTCTGAGAATTTCCGCTGCGACATCACCTTTGAATTCTAGGTTCATGAAGAGAGTCTTCTTAGGAACCGTTGCGATGTTTGACACCGGAGGCTTCTCCTGCATGTTTCTGTCATTAAATCTTGGTGGATACCCATGACGAAAATACACTGTTATGTATTTTCGTGCAACTAAAACCTCATGCTCACCACTGGTGAAGGTTAAGGATAAAATAGAAGAAAACCAACAGAATTGTGCATACCAAATCAGTTGTTGGGACTGTGACGTCATATATGTAAAGAGAAACTTCCAGACAGGTAAATATAAAAGTGAAATAGTATAAACAATGTCTAAAGGTGGTTCCAAAGACCTCTGAGGACTTGAAGAAGCTAGAAAACAGATTATAAACTGCACTGCATTCGACAGAAACGGGACACAAAATCGACTTTAATAGGACTTAGGTTCTACAGAAAGGTTTCGGTTGGTATAGAGAAAGACTGACTGCAGAAGCCCTGCATATATAAGTGAATCGCGACAGTTTGAACAGACGTGATGGTGTGATGTTAGCTGACGCATTGCAAATCGTGGTTGATAAATAAAAAGTGGATATGTATCACTGATTAATTATACTTGGTCTAACTTCCTGATCGTCTATATCTTCTTATGGAGAGGCTGAAAATGTTGTATCCTGCATATACACACATATATATTTTCATATTCAGTTATCTACTACCGTGAACTTTCAGTCGAACGTAATCTGATGAAACATACACTCTATTGAAAGTATTTAACAAAAGTAGAGTAATATTTGTAAGTCTGAGGTCAAATTTTTATCACAGCTAATGCAATCCTGTTTTTTATACATGTTGATGCCTGTTTCGTGACTCATATGATTGGGCAAAATTTTTAAAAAAACCAAGAGATGTCCTTTTTATATATAAACCTCTGTTATGTTAATTTCAATTAATTTCCCTGACGAAGTGCTGACCAGTTTACCGAACGAAACTGTTGGAATTACTTATTTCAATTTCGTTGAGATTTTACGGATACAATGTATACTCATGTGATAAATGTTCCAAATCCGTATTGTCTGACCCTTAAACACATCCTCTATTCTCAACTCTCCTCCCCCGCCTTGCATCTCATCAGGTAGTGGACTAGAAGTCATTATAAAGGATTATATTCTCGTACAAGCAAGTACAGAATCTCAACGATACCATATTCGTCGAACTTGCGTTTTATGTGATAGAGATAATGTTAAGCGCGAAACCTACGGCTTATTATGTAATTAAAAAAATAACTGGGTCTTTTATTCTCTCCTATTTGTCATTTATGGTTACACAATTTCAATGAACTTATAATTTTAGCTACTAACATTATTATCATCATTATTTTTACACTTTTTTACATTTTTGAGATTACTGTTATTCCCATCACCAAAAAATGCTGCTATTATCAAACCTGTATTATTATATTTCGTTTTTGCTGTTTCTTTGTTGAGTAAATTAGATGTGGACTGTACCTAATGCCGAGAATTCCATGCTGTATGTACCATAAGTACTACTGTTGTGGAATAAAGCAAATCAATATTATTCCCCTTCTTATTCTGGATTACTGTCGCATGGTGAACTAGGTAAAACAAAGTTGACGAGTGCGTCAGCTTTCGACAATCGAAATCTAGGTCACATGTGTTCGGTTTCCCGGATGAATCACCGACGCTAAATTCACCTGCATTTATTATTGCAATGGTACTGATATATTGCATATAGGAGAAAATTTAAACCCATCTCATCTCATTTTATATTGTCAAAAATAAAAACCCGAACAATTTTTTTCATATAAATATATACTAGAATTTTGTATTTTGATGCCTGGCGTAAAAGTAGTACAGACTAGGTTACATAACACGGAGCGAAAAAAGAACAGCAGCTTGTCGAATCATTTCAATGTTTATGTGAAGAATGAATTGAGAGTGTTCTGCAGGAGTTAACCATTTTTATTTTTTTTGTCTTCGCCCATCACTATTCACACTAGAAATAAATAGGAAATAAAATTGATTAACGTTAAATTACTTTTTTTGATGTGGTTGTGTTCTCTGAGCTAGTTGGATACTTTATTAGCGAAGCTTTCATTGCCCTACTTACTAGGCAACATCTTCAGCGCATACTTCAATTTAAATTGAAGTGAGCTTTTAGATTTCTCCACGAGTTCACTATTAGTCATCTCTCCTGGTGGGTGACCTTGAACGTGATTGGTTGTTTTCGGGTGTTTTCACACCATCTAGGCTACTTGTATTGAAAGTGATTGTTTCCTTGACTTGAACTTTGACCTTTTCGTGTGTGTGTGGGATTTCCATCTTATCGGTTGGTAAATTTTGTCTATGTCGATGTGTGTCTATTGACTGACGATTCACTGGAACACCAGGCAGCCTTCTAAAAATTGTCTAGCATTCTTGGTGTTTCCTTTGTCTAATATTTGAACGGTGTTTGTCCCAATCGAATTGATGTCCGTGGTTGTCTGTATGTTGTGATATGAGGAAGGGAGCTTCGCCAATGAACTATCCAGCTCAGAGAACACAACCATATCAAAATCATCCACCTGAACTACAAATCTTCTCCATCACAGTTAAATTATTATTGTTATTATTTTTGCTAGAACCTAGAAAAAACGAAAATTGAACCATGTAATAACTGATACGGGTGGTACAAGAGGCGGCTGTCGTGGCCTAGTAGCTGGCACTTTGGCGTTTGAAACTACAGGTATTGCAGTCGATCCTCAGTGGCGTCACTATCACCCACTAGGGGATGCAAGGTGATTTGGTGATGAGTCCAAAATGGGACGAAATGTACATCATGGATTGCACTTCTAGTTCCCATCCACCAAATCACTTCAGGTTAAATCCTTGAACATCATTAAAGCATCTGCACCAGGAGCCGAGATGTCAACAGGGGACAAACACGTTGGTTAAATCAACCAACAGGGGAGTCCAGGTTGAACTGAAATATAAGATTAGTTGGAGGATTTTATCATGAGGTGACATCAGTTAGAGGGTCACTGGAAATCCTGGGAGTACTGGACAACTAGCTGTTTTGTCACACTAGTTTGGGACTCTTCAGTAGTGCGCACCCTCCGTAGTTCATGATGAAATCTTCCAACTAAATCCAACAAAAATTCCCTACAAAACTAATGCCTGAACAGAAAATTAGCTAATATTTCTATGTACTCGGTGAGGGTAATTGAAGTATTTACATACTTCAATGTCGTTCGGTGATTCATTGTCTTCTGCACTCAAGTTTCAGTCAATGGCTTCCAGGATTCATACCATGGTATACTTTATTTACAGCCTCAGAAAAACCAGGCAGCATCACTAACCGTCACAGAATAAGTGTGTGTGGCTGACATTCTGACTGATTCTCAATACAGAAATTTCCACAGATGTAGACTAGTTCAACTTTTCCAGACTCTCTGTGGCACAAAAACGTGGACAAAAGAACTATAATAAATTGAAGTATGCGGGATGGAGAATGGTAACATGGAAGAACACGAGGATTCAATGCATTGCCCAGATTACAAAGACTGAATATATCTATGTCATTGAGAACAGTATCCAGTCATATCAAACAGAAAGCAACAAAAGTCAATCAAGCAGACAAGTCTTCAACAAAAATGTATATCCTATATATTTTTGGACGTCTTAGTCAAGCGAACAAACACAGGGGAATTATTAAATCAACTCACACAGATCAAATACTGAATTACAACTGCAACAACCCAATAACACATTATAGGAATTGCATACAAACACTTTTCAAGAGGGCCAGGACTCATTGCGGGACTCCAACCTTAACGAAAATTGAAGAGAGATATCTCATAGACATCTTCCAAAAGAATGGATATCCACGGAATTTCATCAAAAGACATATACCCCCAAGCAAGCCAACCTACCAAACCAAAGGCCTCCCAGGAGAGCACAAAGAAAATCGCACTACCATATATAAAGGACATCTCAGAAATCCCTACAAGACTCTTCAAACGTTTAGGGATTGACGTCGCACACAAACCAACAAAGTCACTTCACTCAGTTCGATGTCAACCAAAACACTCAACAGCGAAAGAAGATAAAACCAACATCATCTACAAGATAAATTGTAACAACTGCGAAAAACACTACATTGACGAAAGTGGACGTCCCCTTCGTCTTCGTATCCACAAATATAAGCTAGTCGTCAAAAGACATGCCATCCACTCTCTCATATCACTACATACAGACAACCACGGGCATCAATTCGATTGGGACAATGTTCAAATATTAGGCAGAAGAAACACCGAAAATGCTAGACAATTTTTAGAAGCCCGTCTCGTATTCCAGTGAATACTCAGTCAATAGAGACATTGACACAGACAAAATTTACCAACCTATAGGATGGAAACCTCACACACAAAGGGTCAAAGCTCAAGTCAAGAAAACAATCAGTTCAGACACAAGTAGTCTAGAGGGTGTGAAAACACACAAAAGCAACCAATCACATTCAAGGTCACCCACTGGGAGAGATGACTAATAGTGAACTCGTGGAGAAATCGGAAAGCTCACTTCAACACATTGAAGTATGTGCTGAAGATGTTGCCTGGTAAGTAGGGCGATGAAAGCTTCGCAAACAAACTATCCAGTTAGCTCAGAGAACACAACCACATCGAAAACGCATATCCTAAAAGATCGATTGTGCAAAGCGTGGAAGTGAAATGGAGACCTCAGAGAATCCAGTATGAAAAGAATTTAGTCAGGAAACTGATCAATAGAGCGTGGGAAAAGTTGTTCGAACAATACAGCTGAATATGAAATAAAGACTCTGAAGGATTCAGGAAGTGTAGGCAACAAGAAACTCTTTGAAACTTTGAATCAACCAAGAACCTACTGCTTAACAAATATATGGAAGAAAATGAAAATGGATTGGGAACACGCTGAGGAGTCCGTTGAATGACACTGCACATTAGGAAATCGCTTGAGTGAAACTGGAATGGAGGGCGATAAGTGGGGCGTTGGTCGAAGTCTGACGTGGAGGGATAATTGAATTGAAGAACATCAGAGAATAAGGTTACGTAAAGCAAGTTATCCAGGACTGCAGGTGAATATAGAGAAGACGGAGGTGATGAAGATGACCAGAGAACTGCAACAACGACAACAACCACCAGCAGTCACCATCAAAGGGAGATATTTAACAGAGGTCACTTACTTCACTTATCTGACCAGGAAGCATCGTTTCAACTACAGGCAACAGAATGGATGAAGATGTCAGAACCAGCCAGAATCGGAAAGGCAGGATATGCCTTCACCAACCTGGAACCAGTTTGGAAATCTTCGGCACTCACCATGAAGAAGAAGATTCGGATTTTCAGCACAAATGTGAAGTTAGTCAGTCACTTCTTCTATATGGGTCAGAACCTTGGTCAGCGTGCCACCAAAAGGATTTCCAACAGGCTACAGCAGACTTTCATCAATAGCTGCCATCTTCACTGGCTCCATATTGAGGATCAAATTGTCGTAAAGAATTAGTAACAAGAAACTGTGGGAACAAACCAACCAAGAGCCGATTGCTCAACAAATATGTAGGATAAAATGGAGATGGATGGATCAGGCAAACATTAAGAAAACTTTCGAATGACATGCCGCTCAATTCGGGCCATCGCTCGAGTGGAATCCTAGTTGGAAGCGACAGTGGGTCGTCAGTGAGAGGGTGACATGGAGGAGATCGTGTGGTGAGGAGAAGATGAGAGATTATAGGCAGTAGTGAACCCAGTTGAAGAGGATGTCGGAAAACAGAAGAAAGTGGAAATGTGTAGTTGAATCCCTGTATTCCAGTCGGAACCCAAGGCAACGATAATAAAAATAATAAACCCAGCTATCAAGTCGTGTGAATACATTCAGATCTTATCAAGTGTTGGTTTGCAGGGATTTGATTAGTTACATGATTGATTAGGATTTGACACCATTAGATCCGGTCCTAATGACTGAATCGTTTACAGGTTCGTCTAGTAATCGGGACGTCCAAGATTCAAACTGTAGCAGTAAGTGCAAACTGATGAAGAGTCCAAAACTAGGACGAAACATTCGGCTGTCAAGTACTCCCTTCTCATTTTTCGGTGGTGTTCTAATTGATGTCAACTCGTGATGAATCATATAACATTCAGATATGATTATGAGCAGCAGAGTAATGCTCGAAACGTAAACCAATCAATATTATATTATTATATTATATATTATTGTTCCCTTGGGTTCCTAGTGGAACATAGGGCTTCAACTGCACGCCTCCACCTGCTTCTGTCTTGTGCTGTACTTTTCACTTGCATCCATGTTAATCCATACTGTTTCAGTTCCTCATCACACGATCTCCTCCATGTCACCTGTCCTGTCACCAGTCCTGTCTTGCTGCTTCTTCGACCAGTTTGTCGGTTTTCGCTTGTAAGTATTCGATTTTGTGTGACATCAAACATAAATCATCCACAAAATCCAGGTCTTCTAGGTTCTTCACGTCGGTCCAGGATATCCCTGTCTTCTCGTTTCCCACTGTCTGACGCATAATCCAGTCCACCACAATTAGGAATATCATTGGTGATAATAAGCACCCTTGTCTGACTTCTGTGTTTACTCCAAACGCTTCGCTGAGTTTTCCGTTGTGGATCACTTGACATGTGCTGTTGGCGTACAGCTGTTGAATGAGGTTGATGAATATTTGGCATACGCCGTAGTACTCAAGTAGTTTCCAAATTACTTCGCGTTCAACGCTGTCGAAGGCCTTCTCAAACTCTATAAAGTTGAGGTAGAGATTTGATTGCCATTCCATGCTTTGTTCGATGATAATGCGTAGAGTTGCAATTTGGTCAGCACATGATTTGCCTTTCCTGAATCCAGCTTGTTCTGGTCGGAGTTCTGTATCCAGTGTATCCTTTATTCTCTCCAGGATGATGCGACTCAGGATTTTACTTGGCGTCGACAGGAGCATGATTCCTCGCCAGTTCTTGCAGAGTCCTAAGTCGCCCTTCTTTGGTAGTTTCACGAGGTAACCTTTCCTCCAGTCAGTGGGCACCTTTCCCTCTTTCCAGATCTTTACAGCATATCTGCTGTCTTTTCTGGGTCCGCTTTCAGTGCTTCATGGGGTATTCCATCTGGTCCAGCTGCTTTTCCAGCTTTCAGAAGCTTGATTGCATCACTGTGTCAGCATTATATCAATTGAACTAATCTAATATAAAATGAGTTTTCAATATTGTTCTCAATATTTGTTTAAAATGAGGTTAATTAGCACCAGCAATTAATTGTACTTTTTAAAATAAAAAATTGATTTTATAAAGTACTAATATTACTTTTGTTTTATTTTTTCTGCCAGCAAAGCGTTGCCCAGTTATCGGAATAAATTCAGAGCGATTCTATTGTCAATTGTTCAGCTTTAAATTAATCAGTAATCCGTGGGTAAATATAATGGTTACCTTGGTAATTTATTGATTAACCATATTTTTAATAGACTGACATTATACCTGTATAAAACTGCCCTTTCATTAGATTGTACTTTTGAATGATACAAATAGGAATCATTGAAAAAATAATGGGATAAATATTTCATGATAGAATAAATTAGTGACTGATTGAAATGATTAGTCAGCGGTCACTCACGTCCTGTAGCAATGATTGAACCAAATCGTTGAAGTGATGTGAATATCGGTGGACCGTTTCACCCTTTTGTGGTGTCATCAGTCGTCTTCCCAATTCAACTTAGCTCAAAGAGACAGTTCATCCAGAAACACCAGAAAATTTCCGTTGAAATGAGTAAGGAAACTGGGGTGGCCGCTGCGATAAAACTGACGATAAATGTAAGTTGTACTCTTTAGACGAATTCATGGGCCACTGGATCGAATCCCAGGGATTGAATAGTCTACGAGCTCACCATGTAATCAGGAGGTCCCGGATTCGAGTTCCGGTGGCTACGTACTGCCGAAGAGTCCTAAACTAAGACGGAAAAGACGATAATTCAGTACTTCCCTGTCTCCCCACTGGTTCTCTAAATAATGCCACCTCATAATCAAATCTGAAGTATGAAATTGCATACCACCACGGTGCTCAAGTCTTTCACATATACGCCATAGCATAATTCAAGTGAAGTCATGAGCTGATATCAGCTGGAGAACCACCGAAAACCTGGAAGTACTGGAAAGTTATTCATCCTACTCTGAGACTCTTCGACAGTAGTCCACCTATGACTCCACGGAGAATCGAATCCAGGACCTACAGGATTTGAAGCGAGGCTATTGATCTAATGGTGACTACTGACTGTCTATAGGATGAAGTTGCCTGGGGTTCTGACGAGAAGTCGTGATCAGTGGGGTTCGCCAGGTCGCGTTCGAGGATAAAAATTCACTGATGACACTCAGTGGCGGTCGCGCTAAATACAGCGAATTGACAGATGTTAGAATTCATGGGCAATTGGATTCCGTCCCGGAGGCCGAATATCACTGAAGTCAAGCTAAGGTGAGCATGATTGGCTTGTGAACCACTGACGTACTCAATGGTAGGATGCTTGTCAGCCATACGCGAGTTCTGGGATCGATTCCCAACTACCTAGTTTACTATCGCGGAATACATCTTGAGAAGATAATGCCACAGGTTAAGTGATTCATAACAGAAGGCTTAATGAAGCCTTTGAAGTAAAGATAGGAACAAGACAAGGCTTCCTACTATCACCCACGATGACATTCCTGATTATAGTGAAATAAATCGTGCAATAAACCGTATAGAGTGACAAGAAATGTATGTAGTGGATCGATAAGAAGAGTCTACAAGAACTGGACTTCTCGGATGACTTGTACTTAATATCACACAAACTCAAAGATTTACGGGCGAAAATCAACACTTTGGCAGAAGATGCAGGTGGCGAAGACTTAGAGAGGACACAGATGGGAAATATTCTTTACTGACAAGAACGAGAGTCACCATTCATTACCAACAGGGGAAATTTTGAAAGAAGTCCCTTCTTTTAGTTGTCTAGGTGACATCTTATCAATTATAGGCAGTTGCACGGATGGGGATGTCGAAGCCAGCCAGGATCAGAAGATTTTAGACAGTCACACCTTCATTAGTTTGGTTACAGCCTGGAGACCTACTACGGAAAGCGTGAAGAACAGAATTTGAATTTTCAACACAAATTTCAAATCCACGCTTGTATACAGTTCGGAGACTTGGAATGTCACCAAAAGCATTTCCTACAGACTTCAGACATTAGCCAACAGTTGCCTTCGCTTTATAATGAAGGAGTAATCAACAGGAGACTCTGGAGACGAGCCAATTAAGAGTCTATCAACCAACAAATACTCCGAAGATAAGTGGAAGAGATAACTTCGCTTAAATTTCTTCCATCGATAATGATTCGTACTTCTTGTCGTCAGCTAGTCAGCTTCATCACCTCTGTCTTCTCCATGTTCACTTGGAGTCCTGTGTTCGCCATCCGAATTTTCTCCCAACGTTTCAGTTTTCTCCTGTAAATCTTCGAGTTTGTGTGACAGTAGACATAAGTCATATGAAAAGTCCAAATATTCCAGTCTTTTCGTCAGTTCAACTAAGGCTCGTATTCTCACCCTCCATATTCTGCTGTACGATTTGATCCATCATAAACAGGAATATCATCAACGACAATAGGCGGCCTTCTCCTACTGCCAAATCTATATACAGCGTACAATGCAAATTAACTTGCCCTTTAATAGTGGTCAAAAGTTATAGATAAAAAAGACTGCCTCACCTTTCTTTCCAGACATTTGAGCATTTTCACTCTTTTGCGATGTAGAAGGTATACTGCCAGTTTCAACGTCAGCTTCGTATTTCTCTAAATCTCTAAAGTAAAATAAAATAAGTTATATTAGAAATTTGAACTTTTGAATCGACCGTCACCTGCAACTCTCCCAAAAATACCACCAATAGCAAGCACAGAACTACCTGCCAGTGGACACCAATCCTCCAACGAAGGCAGAAATTTGGAATGCTATCATGCTAGTGAAGTCCGAAAATGCAGCAGGACCAGACGGAATTCCCCCCAAAGTACTGAAAACTGACCCAGAGACAGCGGCAGATGTGCTGACGCTATCATTGCAAAAGGTTTGGAAGGGAGGGAAGGTGTCTACTAACAGGAAGAAAGGCTACTTCGTCAAGCTGCCAAAGAAGGGTGACTTAGGCTTCACTCTGCAAGAGCTGGCGTGGAATCATGCTCCTCTCCGCGTCAATTAAAGTACTAAGTGGTGTTATTCTGGTGTGAATGAAAGATGCACTGGATGCAGAATGACGCCCGCCAGGACAAGCTGGATTCAGGAAAGGCAAGTCATGTGCCGACCAGATTGCAACTCTACACATCATCACCAAACAAAGCATAGAATGGCAGTCAAACCTTTGCCTTAACTTCATCGATTTCGAAAAGGCCTTCGACGGCGTACACCAAGAACTAGTTTGGAAACTACTTCAACACAAATCTTTATCAACCTCATTCAACAACTCGCTATGTGACAGTTGCACATGTCAGATGACCCACAACGATAAACTCAGTGAGGCGTTGGAAGTGAATACAGGAGTAAGACAAGGCTGCCTACATATTATCACCGATGATATTCTTAATTATGGTGGACTGGATTATGCGTCAGACTGTCTGTGGGGAGTGAGAAGACAGGAATACTACGGACGACCGATAAGAAAACTCTAGAAGATCTGGATTTCACAGATAACTTATGTTCAGTGTCACACAGACTCAAAGACTTGCAAGAGAAAACCAGCAAACTGTCTGAAGAAGTAGGAGGATGAGAGAGAACTGTAGGTGAACATAGAGAAGACTGTTGTGATGAAGACAACTACCGAACTGCTACAACAACAAAAACCAGTATCAATCACCATCAACGGGAGAGATTTAACAGAGGTCACTCCCTTCACTTATCAACCTAGGAAGCATCTTTTCAACTATAGGCGGAAGGGATGAAGATGTCAAAGCCAGCCAGAATCGGATAGGTAAGATATGCTTTCATCAACCTGAAACCAGTTTGGAAATCTTCTGCACTGACTCAGACAACATAAACAACAAGATTCGCATTTTCGTCTCTGTTTACACCTTTTTCTCTCAAATTATTCATTAAATAAAGCAATCATTATAACTGAGAATACATGACTCAACGAAGAGATCCCTTCTTTTCGTAGCATCACTTCAGTTCTGTACAGTTGTTCAGGGGGTTTATATATATATATACATATATATATATGCAATAGTGATTGACAACACAGGTCAAAGGTTATTGTTAGTTAGTAATGAGACAAGTCAAAGTGGATGAGTAATAACTATAATTAAAAAATAGAAATAATCTTACGTAATCAAAAGGGTTGACAACTAAATGGTTGACTGATGACTAATCTTTCGGAAATGGTTCATAAGAGACAAGAGAAACAATGATTGTAACTGAGTTGCATAAATATAAGGCGGACTACGTAGAGCCTATTATGCAGTTGTTTAGGAAGTTAAAGAAGGCCATAGTAGTAAAAGAGACTGGATGAAACGTTTCTGAACGTAAAGTTCAAGTTTCTCCTTAAGGATTGCTAAGGCTTCAGCTGCATGAAGAAAATGTAGGTGAAATTCTTTCTAATGACTTGGTCGTACTTTATATATGACTAACTCTGAAAGAAGTCTCTGCTGATGCTTCATGAACAGAAGTTATAATATGCTCCAGAACTGAGCTGTTGACTGTTTCATGTTATCCTTTGGACAACCATGTTGGTAAGTGTTCATCGGCGCATCTAGACGATGTTCTTCTGATACGGCCTATGTAATTACCTCCAGAGGCCCAAGTGAATTGGTAAATTCACTCTGAATTTTCCAACATCAGGACCGTGTTTTTGACATTTTAATGAATAAAGGCATGTGTGGAGAAAGTGAGGCGTAGAGATGCTTCAAATCACTCCCGACACGGAGCTTCGAAGAACTGTACTAATTATATCTCTCTTGAATTTCAGATTTACAAGTATTTATTTCCTCGGCACACATCCAGGTTTCGCGGAATATCGGTCTTTCGCTTTAGATGTTTATCGATGAACGGCGTTGGATATCCACTTTTGATTGAAGTTTTTCTGAAGGATTCCAACTGCATATTGAATTCATCTTTAGTGCCTATACGGTAGACTTTCGTCGGTTATTGGGACAAAGCTGTGATTGATTGTCATCTGTTCATTCCAACTTGACTTTAGGTAGAATGATCTCTATAGGTTTCCATCTGATCGTCTTGTAAGTTAGACATCTAGAAAGGACAATTTACCTTCTGATTTCTCTTCCATTTTGAATTTAACAAAGCGATGGGGGGATGTTGCAAACTCCCAAGATTTTGTTATTGTCTGTTTTTTCATTGGTAATGGTAAAGATATCATCACCAATATACCTCTTGGAAACTTTCAACCGTTTGTTTGTCGGTAGGAGGATTTTTGACACAGGATACGTCATGAAGCAGTTGACGAGGAATGGGGCAAGTGTAGAACCCATTGTTACTCAATCGTTCTGTCGGTATATTTGACTATTCGGTAAAAATTGGACATTTAATGTGTATCTCAGGACTAGTTCTTTGATACGCTTAGTTGGTATACCAATATTCACATTGTCTGAATCAATAAACTCACGTAGGTAGCATAAAATTTCAGTGAAAGAAATGTTCGTGAATAGGAAAACTATGTGCAGTGGAGCAATAGGTATTAACCCAGATACATCCACTTCACTGAGTGAATTCACAAATTTTAACATACCCTTCAAGGAGTGCTAAGTCATTATCTTGTTTACAGGTTCTAAAGTCTCCTCTAACCATCGTGCTACGGGATGACAAAGAGATCTGGATATGTCTAGAATCGGACTCAGCGGTACCTATTCTTTATGGGTTTTCGGCAAACCACATAAGCCTGAAATTGTTGAACGAGATGGTTGTATCACTGAGCCCTGTTTGATTTTCAAAAGGAGGACTTTTATTGTTAACTGCTTTTCATCAGTCTGGTTTTAAAATCTACTGTCGTTAATGAGGATGTATCACACAGTCAGGAAAACAGTATTATTTACTGGATGACACAGTTTCGAACAAAATTTATTGTTCATAATCATAACAATTAGAATCACACGACTTTGAAACTTGAGTTTTCTAGTTTTCTTTGTTCTCTCCTATGTGTCATCGTTGGGGTAGTAGAATTCTCCAGATATCTGGCTGGACAGGTGTTGAATCATTCCTATTACATGTATTTACAGTTGATCCGATAAGCAAAGCTTCCGTTATCAATCTCTCCCTCTATTCACCCTGTGACATTAGATTTTAAAACTGTCATCTTATCCCATCATTCAATATTGTATGGTTGCATATTGTGTGTGCAATAGCTGAACTATTCTCTAGATTTCTTATCTTATTTAGGTCAACTAATCCAGATTTTGCTAAGTTTTATGTTCAGCTAGTCTGACTGCCCCTGTTCTACTACTTTGACCTATGTATTTGACCTGACAATCATTGCAGACAGGGTATAAGATAAACTAAATTGTTTTGTTTTAAAGGCTCTACAGGATCCTTTAACCGACAAAGTTTGTTTCTAATTCAGTCTGTGGGTGGTTTGAATGCCAGCCCCTTTTATTCCTGCCTGCATTGTTAAGAATTCTGCGTAAGGTTTCCGAGGTTCCTTCCTTGTTTGGAATTACTACTGATGATTTAGATTCCTTATTGTTAGTGTTGTCATTATCTTGGGCATGTTTGACATGCATGTCATCATTAATATTATTATTATTATCACTATCACTACTATCATTATTTATTTTATTTTTATATTTCCCTACATACTTTCTGACTAATTTCTCCGGGTAATTATTAAGTTTCAAGGCTTCTTTTATGTGTATCACTTCCTGTCTGAGATTTTTCTTGATACTGCTTAGTTTTTTTTTATTACAGCTTGATTCCACACCGTATTTTTGATACATGTATGGAATTTTCAGCATGTGATATCGGTAGCCCAAATTTTGCAGGCCAACCACAGATATTAGGTGTGCGTCGGCAGGGGATCGAACCCCGAACCATATGCATGATCGGCCAGAGTCATAACCGCTGTGCCACCGACGCTGTATTACTTAAACACGGTAGAGGGAGAGATTGATGACGGAAGCTTTGTTTATCGCATCAGATGAAGAGAACACGTGTAATAGGGATGATTCAACACCTGTTCAGCCAAATATCTAGAAAATTCTACTCCTTCAACGGCGACAAGTAGGAGAGAACAAAGAAGACTATAAAACTCAAGTTTCGAAGTCGTGTGATTATAATTGACGATATGATTATGAACAGTAATAAATTTTGTTCGAAACTGTGTCATCCAGTAAATAATAATACTGTTTCACTGACTGTGTGATATATCTAATAAACAAACTAATAGGGAATTTTTATTCTACAGAGGAATATTTAATGATGAAATATAACGGCTTTGAAATAGTTTGTTCAGAACATTATTATAATTCTTTTATAAGACAACATAAAAGGCTGATAATAAACTATACCATCGTCGTCGGCCTGTTTAAAACCTGGGCTATCAAAAGTTCCATGTGTCTATTATATATGTATTTTCTTTTTTTCGGTTTGTTTTAATCGAATGAGATATGACCTCTAATGCTTCTGTTTTGCAAGTTTCTACTAAACTTGAGGAAGTGGTCTCCAAAGCCTCAGAATGGTCGGGGGTGGGTGCCTTGCGCTGCGGGTTGGCCACCCCTCCGCACACCGCTTGAAATGCTCCCATATGACCGGACGTCTTACATAGGCTCTCCTGAGGAGGTCCTACTCACTGCCTTCACGTGGCGGAGGTTTTTTTTCACAAAAGTGAGAGGGCGAAAGCGGATGCCCGGCGCTCTTCACCGGGTTGACTGTCCATTGGATGACAGTTTAGGGGAGATGGCTAAACCCTGATTCCAAACCTCCAACGACTGGCATATGAAGCTCACTGGAGCTCACCGGTAGACGTATGGACAAAGGGCTTGTTGGATTTCCTGGATGTCTGGCCCCATTCAAAAAGGCGTATGAACCGAACTCCGGTCACCGGCTGCCAATGGATAGTGGACTCCCTACTCCACTCCTACTGCCTTGTAGGTCACACTTGGTTGTGTAAAGGCTAGAGCTGCACTCTCAAACAAAAGGCCGAGCGATTCTGGGGACATCACTCGTGCCAAATTCCCATGAAACTTCATGAATTCTCTTACAACATCAACCAAATTCCAGTACTGGTCCAACAACGTCACCTTCGGTGGTTTGGCCATGTTCTGAGCCGACCAGGTGACGATCTGGTCAAATCAGTTCTAGATCCCTCGCCATTACCATCTTGGCGATGTCGCAGGGGTGGACAGCTGAAAACATGGCTTGGTACAGTCAAGGCTGATATGGAATGCCTGGGGCTACAAACCGTCTACGGACTCCGTCTGTGGAACAATAATTGGATAACTCTGTCGCAAAGCCTTGCATCAGATCGCCACGCCTGGGCAGCGATGATTCGAGATGTTCATGAAGCCGGCTCATCCCCCCGTAGGAGATAGCCGAAGTTAAGTAAAGTAAGTAAGTAAACTTGAGGAAAGGCCTGATTGTGGGCGGCAACGTTTTCCAATAGAATATAAGATAACTGTTCTTCAGTTATGTCCTTGGGTTTCAAAATATACTTCTAAACATCTTACAATTAATTGGCTTTCACCTAGATATCATGGATTTCTTGAAAGAGACATGGCAGATACATCAGTAGGGAACGGTGTGTGCGTCAGCTGAGAGACCATTGTGTCACAGGAAGGATACGCTGTCAGTTAATATTTCACTTAAAGGCATTGTACAAAGCAAAGATGTGATGCAATTAAACTCCTCTGAAAATTCTTTACATTATATAAATACTGTTCAGAATAAAGATACTATTGTTATTATTAGAAAGAAGAAACTTACTCAAGAATAGGTAAAGGACGTTTCTTTTTCAATGCTCTACTTTCAGCAAGTTTAGAGCGTTTCTCTTGGAACTCTTCTCCAGGTTTACTATCGGATTTCTTTTGTTTTTCTATGCGGGCTTTGAGTACTTTCTCGTGTTCTTCACGATCTTTTCGATAACTTGAATGAAAAGTAGTTTTTAAAAAAATTCATTCATTCATTCATTACTACTACTATTCATACAAATATAAGTAGTATTGCAAACATTGAAAAAGTAGTATAGATATAGTCGGAAATTCTCGACTTTCATTTGCCATAAACAACAGTGGTAGAATTAATTATTATTATTATATTTCAATATTTTACACACAATGATAACAAAACAAGATTTTGAGCGAACAACTGTTTTCGATAACTTCTTCTTCAGGCTCTACAGTTATAAATCCATGAATAATAGAGTACATGTAGCCAATAAAGGCAAATGAAAATAATATCAGAAACTGTATTGGGGTGCATGTGTAAGTTGAGATGATAGTCCATTAGTTAACATAATCAATCAAATGTGTATAGGGTGTATAGTCAGAAAAATGTGGTGAAGTGTGAATGAACAATTGGGTGATATAGTGTTGTTTTATAGTCATCAGAATACAAGTGTCATTGGGGTGAGAGAAATGCGATAGACACAAAATGCACACAAACACACATTAACGATGGGGACACTGAATGTGAGGGCTGGCCGATAATGTCTAATGATAAAATAAAGAGGCTGAATAGTAAATTGTAATAAGATGTTACAGAGTTAGTAGGCTTACTGTAAAATCACAAAGGTTGACAAAATTAAGGGTAACAATGAGGTGAAATAAACTGGGTGGAGAAATGGATAATAAAGACACGATATCACAAAATGATAATAATGGTAATAATAATACGGAAAATTATGATCCTGGTGACCTTATAGTGGGCCAGGGTAGACAGAGAGAGAGTGAATAAGTTTTTTCTGTACGCATAAATCTGGTCTTTCTCTATTAATCTCTAAAGCCTCAGCGATGGCTAGGAGGCGTAATCGTGTGCCTTTGGGGAGATTGTTTGGTACTCGATACACAACTGTAAATGGCTCATCTACTTTGATGCTGTGTTCGCCATCCACTAGATGAGACAGAATTGCACTATTTAAAGGTTTGGTTGTTCTTTTCCCAAGCCAGACCGGAATATGTTCACGAGTGCGTAGAGATAAATTCCTTTGAATACGACCTATATAACTAGCTCCACAGGAGCCGTTGAATTTATATACACACATTGATGTCGCCATTTTGGGTAATCTATCTTTAATGCACAGTGTCAATATTGGTTTAGTTGAGAAAGTGACATGCAGTTTTGCGGCACTGAAAGTTCTTTCAACTGCTCTCGTTAATCTACGGTTTAATATATCGCTAGATATACCGCCTTTTAATTGTAAATTTAAGTAAAGCTTTTTCTTACTTACTGTGTCTCGCTTAGTTTTGTGTATAGTTTCATAGATATACTTCTTTACAAAGTTGGTAGGATAGTCATTCTGTAGCAAGGCGTTTGTGAGATTTCTTATTTCATCTTCAATACAATCGTCGGTACATATGCGTCTAATTCTATGACTAAGGTAACGAATTAGGTTGCGTTTATATTTTATAGGTATGAAGCTATGGAAGTGAGTGTATTGTCCATTCCACGTCGCTTTCCTATAGATGTTTCTCTTTAAGGTACAGCTGACATCTTCATGGATTTTTGAGAAGAGAATACACTTAAACCATTCATGTCATCAATAAAATGTTGGTGGAGATGTATAGACGACACGTAATAATGAGAAAGTAATAATGAAGAAGAATGAAAGTTGAGAAATTCTTCTCATACACATAAACAGTCGTGTCGACTCAATAAAATTCACTATGGAAATAGAGAATGAAATTGGAGAACCACCTATGTTAGACTGCAAAGTTCACAGGGTAACAGACAACAGCATGAAAACGATGCTATGTAGAAATATTCTATGAGACTCCTTGATTATCACTCTGTTCATCCACTCACGGTAAAATGAGGGTTAATACAAGGTCTTGCAGACAGAATACGCAGACTTACAACAACACCAAATGACCAAAGAAAAGAAATAAACATCTTATTCAAAGTGTTACTCAACAACAACCACCCGAAAGAATTGGTGTATGCTCCAACATGAGAGTAGACAATCACCTTTCTGTACTACATATGTATTTGCTTCCACAAACACACTCATCAAAATTGACATGCCCCATTTGAAGTGCCGATGATTGGCAACTGGTCTTTCCCAGATTGTTGAAGTACCCACTTGGTGGTGTTAAGGAAGACGAGTTTTCCAGCATAAGAAGTTCTGTTGTGATAGCTTTGTGGAGTTTTCTTTTAACTACCTCTTGTACATCATCTCCTGTGAATGGCAAATTGATATAGACAGGTTCCCTCGGAACTGTTTGGATACTTTTATTGCGGCTCATTTCCTTAGAACACTTATTGGTAAACTTCTGAGGATACCCATTCTTAGATAAGATATCCCTCAAAGTCTTTATTTCATGTTCAGTTGTTTAAATGGACTTAATAGGTATATGAGATTATTAAAACAACCTGTTTTTACATAAAGAAACTTCTCATTGCCCTTGTGTCGACTCTGTTACCTTCCAATTACAAGGCAAGCTGACTCGTATACCATTCAGCCACTAGGACCCGACTTAGTGGGCCATGAATTTTAACTTCTTCCAATTCCTGATTTAGCGTGACCCCAAACAATGTCGTCGTGACCAGTGAGGTCCATCTAGTCAAGTGTGAGGATGGATGTCTCACTTATGACATTGGTTGATGGTAGAAGTAGAATTCATGAGGCACTGAATCAGGTCCTAGTCGCTGGAATGGATGGCGAGAATAATAATAATAATAGCAGTAAACTTACATAATAAAAAAGAAGCAAAGTTATAGTAAGAACATTATTCTGGTCACGGTAGGGTGAGTGAATGTATGTAGCGTTTTTGAATGAAGAAGTCCGGTTTCTGAGTAGTACTTTGAAGCATTCATGAGGAGTTGCTCGATGTCCAGAGATGACAAGGTGTTCGAGGATGCAGCTGCTACTATCCTTCTTTTCTACCCTGGTTAACCAAGCTGGAAAATGTTCCAGAATTCATAGGTCAATGAATTGCGACCTAAGTTACTGAATGGTCAGCAAGATTGTTTGTTTTAACTTGAAAGTCACGGGTCTGGTCCCTCGTGGGATATTGGGTTCTCGCTGCTGGAGTCCCACAGTGGGATGGCATTAATCCAAATTCCCATAGATCCCACGCTCAACAGATATCCTTCTGATTTCAAGATAAACGGCAGCAGGAATGAATATCATTTAGAGAAGTATTGAAAAAAAGATCCCCGGGCAGTAGGCTCCAGAAAAGTGCCACTAGTTATTAAACTGGGCCCCTTCAGCCTACTGTATAAAGCCTGCATACCATCTAGCCACCGGTTTCAATATCAATGACCTGTGAGTTTGTTCCACACAGTCCCATCATCGTCCAGTGTTACCAGAGAGAATCTATCCCCAAACACTCAACATAACAGACACTACTGGTCATGAATTTTTATCGAAACACTTAGAATTACATCTCATACACAGTCACTAACAGCAATCCACAGACCAAACGAATTAAGAATCATGAATGCATAATTTTCAAGCGTCGGCTTGTAGGGATTCGATTTGTTTCAAGTATATTCACAAGCTGACATCATAAGAAGAACCATTGGAAAACCATAAGGGAGTAATGAACAGCCAGCTGTTTTGTCCTAGTCTGGAGGACTCCAGTAACCTAACTCTTGTAAATCAATCTGATGCTCTCCAGTAACGGGCTACAGCACGAAGTTGCCAGTGACCAGTGGTGGGGTCCATCTGGTCGGGAGTGTGTACATATACTCACCGCCAATGTCACTAGCTAGTGGTCGCACGTTTAATATCCCGAAATGGTAGGATTTCGAATTGAAGAGCGGTTGAACCGTATCCCAGCGGTTGAATAGACTACGATCTTGCCTTGTTACTGACAGGTTGTGGATTCAAGTCCCTGTTGGTGAGTACTGTTGGCAATCCAATAGTTCTCTAATCTATGTCAGTTCATGATCACACGTAAATCAATGCATACGGTTTGATTCGTATAATAATCATTTTTAAAGGTGAGACATGATTCATTATAATAAAGGTTTTTTTGTATTTCCCAATGAATGGAAAACAGAACGATATTGTTTTTACTGACGTTTCGCTATTTAATGCCAATAGCTTTATCAGAGTAGTATTATTAAACAAGAATTTACAAAATCTCAGCATATATGTAACAAAGAGTTAAGGGACTTCGTCAACAAAATCATCACTGACATTATCTATGGTCGAAAACGTATTCCGAAAACATGGACCTCGACAGTCATCATTCCATATAGAGCAGAGACGTCAGACGATATCCGAAGAGTACTCAATCAGCTCGACATTAGAGTTTCCTTCAAAACATCAGACACACCACGAAACAACCTTATCTATATAAAACACCAAATCCCCAAAGATTCTCTATCTAATTGTGACTATAAAATAAAACGCTTGGAATATGATTCGATATACATCGGACAAACATCTCGAGAAATCAAAATCAGAAGAAATGAAAGTCGTAGAGCATCTCTTCGACCACCGAGAAATCCGGTTGAACTAGAAAAACTTGAAAAATCATCAGCCATAGCTCGTCTACACGCTATAGAATCAGACCAAAAAATTGATTTTGATAACATTGAAATAATCCAGAGAAGGCATTTCAGAAATCACAAAGAACGTCTAATATGAGAAGCACTTCATATCAAGTGGAATCCAAATTGTCTGAATAGGAATGATGAACTAAAACAGAATCTGACCTGGTTACAACACCTCCCTCCCCTCCCCCATGAAGTGACAAAATCAACATGAATGTGATAAGCAAGTTCACTATGTAAACACACACTGCCTTTATAATTTTAAACACTGATCAAATCCAACAATCTACACCTGGTTTTGTTATCTTTACCAATTGACCAACTTGACAACGAAAAATGACCCCAGACTGACGAACGATGATCAAGTTAGTAAACTTTGTTTTGATACCATAACAGATGTACTATTACCTTTGTTATTTGGTTTAGTGATCTTCATTGTTATTTTAACTTTCAATATGTCCTTTTAACTTGACCTGAGTCTATTTTCTCACCCCTTAACTCTTTGTTATATATATGTTGAGATTTTGTAAATTCCGGTTTAATAATACTTTGATAAAGCTATTAGAGCATTAAATAGCGAAACGTCAGTAAAAACAATATCGTTTTGTTTTTCATTCATTGGGAAATACAAAAACCTTCATTATAATGAATATTATATACCCAATGCCCAAATTTTTTCAAAGTGTTAAAAGTGAACTTGGTTTGGACATATGTGAGACATGATTGTTTACCTCTAAATAACGATACTCACATGTCATCCATTTCTTTATTTATCTCCAACAACTGACCAACAGTTTCATCGGTATTACCGCTCTCCAACTTCAGTTTACGACTTTTTGCCTCTCTAATTCTTTCGTTAATGATATCTTGTTGTCTTGCAGATTCAGAAGTGAATTTCAACGATTGCAGTTTCATTTTCTGCATTAGTATCTCCTAAAATTAATCAGAATAAAATGTAGAAAATGTATCGTAGAATCTCACTTGACATACTGAAAGGCGCTTTGAGGTTTCTGTAGCGATTGGAATGATTTTCCCTGGGCAGAATCACTAGCCCCACACCTAACCTTCCATGATATCTCTGGACATAACATCTTTATTCACAAATATACCTCTAGTAGAAACAGTTAACTACATATGTGAACAAATGGATAACCAGTCGATAAATATTAGCATCCGTATTGAAATCCTAAAAGAATTGTTATTAAGGTGTACCATGATTGTAAATTTCAAATTAGACGGCACACTTTACAGAAAAGTGTACGGGGTGGTGATGGACTTCTCATTGGGTCCCATTTTGGCAGATTTCTTTCTAAGTAAACTAGAAAATGTACTTTTGAACAACCTTATCAGAAAGTTCTCATTTTATTGCCAATATATGAATGACACCTTCATTCTTTGTGATAATGATTCGGATAGGAGTACAATAATTACTGAATTCAATGAAGTACATTCTGTTATGAAATTCACGTGCGGATAGGAATCCCAAAAGAGAATTAATTGCGTTCCTAGGTGTCCTCCTTACAAAAAAATTAGATGGTAGCATAAAAAGATATTTGCAAAGGAAAAGCACATGGACAGGACAATGTACACATTTTCACAGCTTTTTTCCTCTCAAGTACAAACGAAATTTAGTAAAGACCCTCAGCCACAGGGTTAGTTAGAGTAGAGAAGTAATTGAAGATGAATTAAGCATTGTATATGATACCTTGATTGAAAATGGCTATCCTGACAAATTTATCAAGAAACACATGACAAAAAAAGCGGAGGACTACTCGCTATCTGTAAACAAGAAGCCTTCATAAATGTATACGATTGCAATTCAAGGGCGATAAACCAAGTGAAATAATTATAAAGAAACTAAGAAAATCAGTTCAAGCAACTTTTAATGCTGGCGAAGTACACGTCTTATTCTCCACACGACCGATGGTGATTCCTCGATTGAAAGATGAAGTACCTAGACTAGACTAGCCACTTCTAATTCTATCTACCAATTCAACTACGCTTGTGGAGCGAGTTATATTGGTCGTTGCTCTAGAAACTTCATTTTTCTTGCTCGCTTGGGAACATCTCCCAGTGTTGTGGCTAAGTAAAGGCATAGTGAAAACCATCAACAGTTCGATACTAGACCATGTGGTCCAAAGGGGCCATAAAGCTAGCATTGAAGAATCCTTCTCTATCATCTACCGGCTGCCAAATAAATTGCAAAAAACATCGAAGTACCGCATGCTCCAAGCGGCAGAGGCTGTTTCGATTCGCGTGAAACAACCGTTGCTCTGTGTGTGCGAAAGAAGCAAGTCCAGCCAGCCACTACTACTGCCCAGGCAGGCATTCATTGGAGAATATAAATTCATGAATTTGTAATATTATCTTTCCTAATTTTTCTGGCGTTTAGTTTATTGTTATGTCGATGCCATTGATATATTCATGTTCAACCTTGAAAGAACAAAATTGATGCATGTAATCGACGAAACAATTCCTACTGTCGATATGTTGATGACACATTTGTAGTGTGCAGCAATCAAAGTCATGCTTCCCACCTACTCAGATTATTCAATGACGCACATACCAATATTGAGTTTACTATGCAACATGAAAGTGACGGAAAGTTCTACCTCCTCGACATTGCCATGCAACGCCTAGAAGATGGTATTCATCAGAAGTCAGTCTACCAAACGCCTTCTTGGAAAGGACAATACTTACATTTTAGTAGTTTTCATCCAAATAGCTTTAAACGCGGACTAGTCAAGACTCTGTGCTATAGAGCTAGGAGAATATGCTCTATACAGAAATTAGAGGAAGAATTTGCGTTTCTTGAAACGATGTTGAAGAGCAATGGTTACCCTCAAAGGTTCATCAAAAAGTATGGAAGATATGAAGTCTCAAATGTAAAACAAATCTACATTCAACTTGATTATAAAGGTGAAAACATTGCAGCAATGGTCAACAGAAGACTGTGCACTTCACTACTTATAGTCTAACCTGAAGCTAAGCCCGTTCTCGTCTGTCGAACAACTTTCTCCTTGGTGCAATCAAAAATCGATAGATATCCTTCTCATGTTAACTCCAACTGTATATACAAATTTACATGTATCTGCTGGAGCAGTTACATTGGAAGGACAGAAAGAAGGACGTATGTACGATTCTCTGAACATGTACCAAAAGCTTATGTCTAAAGGGAACAAATACTTTAAACAGTGCCATTGCCAGGCATCTTATTGGCACGGGTCATGAGGTGGACGTCGGAAAATCGTTCAAAATTATCAATAGGCAAAAGAACTCAATTCTTCTTAAGTTTGCCGAGGCGATCTCCATCAAGTGCCTGAAATCTGACTTGTGCGTTCAGAAAGAAGAAGCAGTTGTCAGTTTTTCTTTGCCCTGGTAACTGGTTATTTTCATCTCTCTTTCATCTAAATGCGTAATGCTGAAAAGTTTCCATTGTGTATGATCATTATTGTTAGGGATAAAGTGTTTATTATTACATATATTATTACTGTATGTATATATTGATTGATTGATTTTTGTTTAGAATGAACTCTGTGCAAGTACGTTAAAATTTTTTTTGTAGATACATTTAATAATGTCTTTGCCCTGTAAGCAACTGACGAGAAGGCAACGAAATAAAAGATGGTACCATTTTATTCTGCTGAAACTGTAGTTCTTGTTTTGTTCGAACTGTAATCTATTGATGTTATTACTATTGATTCGATGTAATTTAAATAACATTAATGTTGTTAATAACACTAATTCATTCATTCTCTATAATATATATATATATATATATAGCTGTACAGCCTGATGATGAAGTTATCGAAAATGTGAATATTCTTTGTTCAGTATCCATTCTTTTGAAAACTAATAAACTCCAACAGGAATACATTAGACGGATAAGAAGACCCTAGAAGTCCTGAACTTTGTGGTTGATTTACGTCTAATGTTATAGAAATTCGAAAACTTACAGGTCAAAACCAAAAACCTGTCAGCAAAAGTAAAGAAGACAGGAATCTAGGTGAACATAGAGAAGACGGAGGTGATGAAAATAGCCAACCAACCAACCAACAACAAGCACGCGTCACTACCAACAAGAGGAAAGTGAAGGAAATCCCTTCTTTCACTCATCTAAGCGTCATCGTCCCAACTGCGGGTAGTCGGCACGGATTAGAATGTCAAAACCAGGATAGAAAAAGCATGACAAACATTCATCAGTCCTAAATCTTCATGGAAATTTGCTACACTCAGCATAAAGGAAAAAACATTTGGGTTTTCAACACCAATGTTAAGTTACTCGGTTCTCAATGGGTCAGAAACTTGGTACGTCACGAAAAGCACTTCAGACAGTCTGGAGACTTTTGTCAATAGCTGCCTCCTCTGGTTCCATTATCGATGGTTAGATGGCTAAAAAGGATTAACGACAAGGAGGTCTGTCAATGAACTATTTAAGAATCTATTGCTCAAGAAGTACACCAGATTTCCTTGTTGCCCATCCTTTCTGGTTGGCCATCGGGTTTTTAAAACCATAACAGTGAACATAGTAACCTGTTGGAAATGCTTTCAATGACGCGCCAAGTCTCTTAACCATATAGAAGTGCTGACTTGATAATGGTGTCAGAAATCCAAATTTCAGTACTTATCCTCAGTGCAGTTGATTTCCACTCCAATTTCAGAGTGATGAAGATTTCTCCTGCTTTTGCGATCTTAGCATCCTCATCTGCACCAGCTGTAGTAAGGGAAATGACGTTCTTCCTCGCCTAGTTTACTAGTTGGTCTTAAGCTCGGAAAAAAGGGGATTTCTGAGTGTGGAGGTATCGACGCTACTCTGGAAAATCAATACAAACATCCCTATTCAGGGATCTCAAAGCATAGGTCGTTAGTAAATAGGGATTTTTAAAGAAATAATAATTTATGGGGTGACATCAGTTAGAGAACCATTGGAGAACGAGCAGGGACTACAGGACAGCTAGCTGTTTCATCCTAGTTTGGGACTCTTCATCATTACGCACCCACCACTGCGCCAGAGTTCGAGCTCAGGACATTCGGGTTACGAGACGAGCTAGCTCGTAGACCGTTAAGTCGCTGGAACCTGGATCCAATTCCCCATGAATTCCAACTTCTGCCAATTCACAACATAGCGTAACCACTTCGCAATGTCTTCTTCAATGAGTAACTTTTCTCAACTTCGACTTGCTCTAGCCTACTGGTCACAGCTTCTCACTAGAACCCTCCCCCACTCCAATGATTCTCGAACCGATATCAGCTCATAATGAATTCCTCCAACCACTTAAGCAAAATCCCTACAAATCAGTACAAATCAACAACCTGTTCTCTTCTAGATGCTTCACCTAAATCCCCATACAGACGTTCTTTCAGATAGGATCTTGCTTGTTTATCATGTTCATGTTCTGGTAATTCAGGGATTTGATTCATTTGACCAGTTTTACCTGCAGCAGCAGCGGCACGTCTCTTCGGGTCTTTTAATGAAGTTCTAAAATTATGAGAGAAGAAGACAGAAAGAATGAAAATCAATTGAATATTGATAAGGTAGTTTTAGCATTCTATGCACTTCATTACTTTGTGAACTTTTAAGCCTTGCTTTACTGGTTTAGTCTTAATACAAAAACTAGGGTTAGCATAAAATTACATTACGGATCATCATTGAACAAAGCCTGTAATGGCAGTCACCTCTCTATCTCAACTTCATAGACTTTGAAAAGGCCTTCGACAACGTCGATCGAGAGGTGATTCGGCAACTACTTCGCTACTATGGGGTGCCACCGACAATTATACATCTCATCCAACAGCTATACGACAATGCTGCATGCCAAGTAATCCACAACGGGAAATTTACGGAACCCTTCGAAGTGAGGACAGGAGTAAGACAAGGCTGCCTACTATCGCCAATGATTTTCCTGATTGCAGTAGACTGGATAATGCAACAGAGAGCGGGCAATGAGGAAACAGGCATAAGATGGACTCACACAAAGAACTTGGAGGATCTGGACTTCGCCGATGATATATGTCTGATTTCCCACAAACTGGAAGATATGCAAGCGAAAAGCAACAAGTTGGCAGAAGAAGCATCCGGAGAAGATAGGACGTCAGGTGAATAGAGAGAAAACAGAGGTAATGAAGATTCCTGGGCAACAACAACAACAACAGACAACGATCAGCATAAATGGGAGGAACCTGAAAGAAACAACCTCCTTTAGCTACCGACCTGGGAAGCATCGTTTCAACTACAGGCAGACGGAACTGACGAGGATATCAAAGCAAGAATCGGGAAAGCAAGACAAGCTTTCACTACTCTCAAGTCTGTGTGGAGGTCAGCAGCACTCAGCATCAAAAACAAGATCCGGATTTTCAACTCCAATGTGAAGTCAGTGCTACTCACTATACGGATCAGAGACTTGCACTGCGCGTCATAAAGGGCATCTTAAACAAACTACAGACCTTCATTAACAGTTGTCTTCGCTCAATACTCAACATCAGATGGCCGTCCAGAAAAGATCAGCAACAGAGACCTCTGGGAGTGAACCAACCAGGAACCGATTGTGGAACAAATATGCAGGAAGAAATGGAGATGGATTGGCCATACTCTGAGCAAACAATGCATCAAGTGACATCACTAGACAAGCCATTGCTCGAGTGGAACCCGAAAGGGAAGCGGCGAGTTGCTCGTCAGTGCAAGGGTGACTTGGAGGAGGTCATGTGAAGAGGAGATGAAAACGTGTGGGCAGACATGGAGCCAAGTGAAGACTCTAGCATAGAACCGAACTCAATGGAGACGTACGGCTGAAGCCCTATGTTCCTCTAGGAATTAAAGGATACAATAATAATAATAATAGTAATAATTCCTATCTAGGTATTCATGAGAAGAACAGAATAAGTACTTCGATGAAGAGGCTGTTGTTAGCGAATTCATTTTCTTTCGCTGAACAGTCACATTTGTGTCCATTCTTCTTAAAGAAGTGGGAGACTTAATGAGAAGATTACTCTTCACGGTAACTCTAAAAGTTGTGTTCTCCACTCGTCTGTTGGTCTGCAGAAGCAGGAATGAAAAATATCTTTCATCTGACCACTTCTATGTGCATATATCAGTTCACATATCCCTGAGGAGCCAGGTACATTGGTCGTTCGATGCGTATCCTGTCTAAGAGGCTTTATGAACACTACCCCACATGATTGGAGATAGGAAACAGTGGCTCTAAGAGGAGTAAGATAATCAAACACCTTGTCAACCGACACTGCTCATTCCATCTCAACAGACATCTCCTCCCCCAGAGTAATTTACAAAGTGAAAAGTAACCTGCCATTCAGTTAAAGAAACTGGAGCTCCTCATACAAAAGAAACTTATTCAACCACTTCTGCTGTCATAGTAACAACCTTAATAATCTCTAATAACTAGATTTTTGTCTGTTAATTTTTTAATTCTTTAGAAGCCTTAAACAATTCCAGATTTTCCTTCGTTTCTACAATTATTCATCTTATTGTGTAACTACGATACCTTTGTGGTGAAAGCTGGCTACGAAAAAGCCAAAATTGTAGATATTAATTTACATCAATGTTGCATACCGAATCAGCGTCATGAGAAAAAACAAGAACAAAGCTTAACCTTGAAGAACTCACCAACCGATCACAGTAAACTTAACGTGTGCCAATAGGATATGCAGATATATGGCCTAACTTTCTGAGAAACGGTCGGTCACAAGCAGTACAGAATAACCTTCAGAAAGAAAATGACCAATCAGAAGACGTCGCTTCTCCTCTGATAATAATGTACATGAAAATCTATAAATATCTGTTGATTTTCTCAATAAACGATCTGTTGTCTGGCCCTTGTCTTCTGTCGTTACAGCTTTACTCAGCTTCTATTATACATTGACTAATAATAACAACTTAATTGTGGTGGACTGCTTTATGCGGAAGACTGTTGGGGGGGGGGAGGAGTCAGAAATACACTGGACCACCGGTGAGAAGACTCTAGAAGATCTGGATTTCACAGATGACTTATGTTTAATGTCACACAGACTCAAAGACTTGCAAGCGAAAACCAACAGACTGGCTTAAGAAGAAGGCAGCGAAGACAGGACTCCAATTGAACACAGAGAAGACAGAGGTGATGAAAATAACTAACGAACCGCGACAACAACGACAACCAGCACCGATCACCATCAACGGGAGAGATTTAACTGAAGTCACTTCCTTCAATTATGTGGCCAGGAAGCATCGTTTCAACTACAGGCCAGCGGAACAGACGAAGATGTCAAAGCCAGCTAGCCAGTCAGAATCGGAAAGGCAAGGTACTCAGACCTTTATCAACCTGAAACCAGTTTGGAAATCTTCCGCACTGACTCAGCACAAGGAACAAGATTCGCATTTTCAACATCAATGTGAGGTCTGTTCTTCTATACGGGTAAGAAACTTGGCCAGCTTGTCACGAAAAGGATTTTCAACAGCCTGAAGAGTCCCGAAACGGGGCGAAACAGATGTCCAATAGTGCTCCCAGGCTTTCAGTGTTCTACTCAACTGATTTCGTTTCATAACGAAAACCGAACAATAGAAATTAAATTAATCCAAATATTCCCGACAGACGCCATAATCTTTGTTATATAAGCGTAAAACAACTAAGCTGAAATAGCAACCCTCACTTCACAAATATTCCTTGAGGTCTGTTAATTAACTGTGCTATGCAAACGTTATTAAGTAGAGTAGTAAGTTTAACATCAATGATTTGTGTAAAGAAAGAGGCGTGTTTATGTCTGATACAGAACATTACTTTCTCCAAAAGTTATCTTCTGCTGATGAAATTCATTAACTACGAAATCTAGCTCAGGCAGTCAACTACTTATACTTAACAATGATTAAAAATGAGAAGAAAACCTTCTACATGAATAATATATTTCATTAGATAACAACGAGTATCAGCTTCTTCATACATTTGCGTTCCCAGTGTAAAATAGGGCACCGAGTTTTGAATTTCGCGTAGAAGTGATGTTATTCTTTTTTATACAGGGTGAGGTTGTTAGCCTTATGCGCCCAACCTTCCCTGTTTACTCGACTTATTACTTACTAAACAAGGTTTAGGAATGAGTCCGTTGGGGATCGAACTCCGGACCACATTCACGTTTGGGAAGCTTTCATGAAATGAAATCCTAGGCTTTCATCACATATTAGTAATGCAAAACTTCGAGATATAAAGTTGTAAGAGTATAATTTAGTAATTTAATAAAAACTTACACGACTTTGGCAAATTTATCAGATCTTCTAGTTGAAAGATTTTCATCTCTGCCAGATTTCAGTGGTCTATATTTTCACAGTTAAAAAAAAATGAAAGACATAAATGCAGGATGAATATATGAATGTTCAGCGTTTAAATAGTTTTGTAGTGGGGTATAATATGACTATAAATATAATGTAAAACAAAAACACAGTTATGGAGCTCAGAGTCCACTGGTTAATCGACAATGTGAAATAGTATTCAAGTATTCGTTCTTCGGGATTTGACTGATTGGTTATAGGATTCCATTATGAGATAACATCGGTTAGAGAACCACTGGGAAACCTGAAGGGAGTACTGGACAGCTGTAAGTGTCCCCCTAGGTTGGGACTCTTCAGCAGTATGCACCCATCACCACGCCAGGGTTCGAGCCCAGGAGTTTCTGGTTACGAGGCGAGCTACCTCGTAGACCATTAAGCCACTGTGATCTGACCAGGACATCTGCATTTCACGCTGTTCCCTACAATCCATTTGTAGTTGGCTCCATGATTACTTACAAGCTATTTTCTCCTCACAAGATTTGCCTTACGTCATCCTCGGACACACGCCCAACTCGTCAATTCCCATACTGGTTTTACTCAGGGGTCTAGTGAGTGATATTACTCAACTCTGTCTTCTGACTATGTCCACTTCACCTATATTTCCTCCCGTATATTTGTTGGGTGACTGATTCTTCGTTGGATACCTACTTTGCAAAGTCCCTTGTTACACATCCTTTCTGTCCAGTTGATCATTTGATCTTCATCGCCGATTCAGCGAGGCCAGTTGAAATAATGGTGCAGTTTTAATTTAGCTGCAGATGCTGAACAATTTTTGAACTCTGTCCCTATCATCACAGTAGCCATTCATCTCATTTGAAATGAAACAGATTAAGGAAAGAGATTCCCTCAGAATTAATCGAAATTAATCTGGAAAACTGATATGCTGTAAGACCTGTATGATGATCCGTTATCCTTCGACTTCAAATGCAGCCTACACTTCAGTGATGGCCGATTTGAATGATTCAGCTTCTCCTCTTTTTCACTCTTCTGTGGTCCGAGTGAGAGATAGGCCTTCATACTCGAGCTTTGGGGTCTCAGCAGCAGATCAAGTGTTATTGTTGTTGTTTTCACGGAGTACAGCTACTAGACTCACACCCAACCTTCCCTCCAACTCCCCCAGGCCTGCTACTATCTAGGCTACGTTTAGAAGCGGGTCGTCAGCAGGGAATGGAAGCCAAACGACGTGCACAACTGGGGGTGGGGTAATAATAGACAGCCACACAAGCTTTAATTACTTCAGTAGACTAGTAAGCGTTTATAAACAGTCGATTTACCTTTTCTGCTTTGTCCTGTCAACACTTTCATCAGTCTTGTCAGCTTCTGATTTCGTTAAACCGCCTATAAAGATCCCCGCGATAGAAGCCAACTTCTGACCAATTTTCGTTGAAGTATCAAATGATAAAATGGTATTTTCTGAAATAAAACAAAAGAAAGATGATTATTCTTAGGTTATATTCGAAGACAGAGTTCATCTGAAAAATGATAAACAGGTAAGGAACTACAAAGGTAGGCTAAAAGCAATAACAATTGGTTTCAGTACACACAGCTGGTGGAGCGGTTTGAGGACTTAATATTGCGGATGCCTGTCACCTCAGCGTATTTCAGTAAGCTCCCCCGACAGTTTCTATAGGTAATCTTCAAAGATATTTTGCTGTAAATCTTGTGAGTCATGACAGTTAAGTATTTTACTGCAGATGAGGTTAGTATTTCGTCATATGCGTGGGAGGGAATAGTAAAGTAAAATTATGACATATAGACAAACGAATAAGTAAATTTAGCAACTTAATATTAAGTTGCTACTGGCTGCACTACTGGATGATGTAAGGAGTATCTAACTACTTATCACAATGAATTAGTAGTATATAGTTTTTCAAAGAAATATGAAATTTCCTATTGAAAATGGCAATTAAATGACGAGACTATTCTGCAGAACGCTCAGATGGAAGACTGTAAATGATCTAATACATGATGATTCATGATAAAATGATTATTTGGCTAGCAGTCTCCAGATGACTAGTCATATGTTCTCCCAAATACGATACCAGACCCAATAGCTACCTAGAATATCCTTCCACTCCAGTCGTCATGGATAATGCCTATCTATCATTTGAATGACTGATATGTTACCTACAATTATTATATTTCTTCAGGAACCAACTAAATCTACATAGATCATTGAAAATCAAGGAGCACCGGACATCTATTTCGTCTTACTCTGGAACTCTTCAACACTGCACAACCGGGAACATTCAGGTTATGAGAGCAGGCTCGTTTACTGTTTAGCAACTTGTGAATTCTAACTCTCTCAACTCGTGGTATGGAGCTATCCTCGATTGATTCCTTCCATTAGCATACAATTCACCTTGACATGCTGAACCATTTGGGCAGGACTTCTCACTAAGCCCTCCAGATATCCATCCGACAGCCATTAGTGAGCTGGAGACTGACATATAGGTTAAGTGATTTGTCGGAGGGGTATGTACTAACTTAAATCCCTAGATTTCGTCATAAACCAACACGATTTAGAGAGATCATTCAAAACCAAGGAGCTCTACTACACAACAGTTTCGTCCTATTTTGCGACTCATCAGCTACTGTTAATTCAAGATCATTGCACTAACTGCCTAGAAAAATCTTCACTCCTCAGTCATGAGCATAAGGCATCAGAAGAATAGATGGAGGTTGTTGGTTTATCACAAAACTATCCAAGATAATCTTCAGTTATCAGACTTTAAGTAATACAGTAGACATTGTGTACGACAATACTGCATGCCAAGTATTTCACAACAAGAAACTCACGGAATCCTTCGAAGAAGTGAAGACGGGAGTTAGAAAAGCTGGCTGGCTGGCTGCCTACTATCTCCAATGATTTTCCTGATTGCGGTAGACTGGATAGACGACAGATAGCGGGCAGGGCGACGAGGAAACAGGCATAAAATGGACCTACACAGAAAACTTGGAGGATCTGGACTTCTCCGATGATATATGTCTGATTTCTCACAAACTGGAAGATACGCAAGTGAAAAGCAACAAGTTGGCAGAAGAAGCATCCAGAGAAGATAGGACTTCAGGTAAACATAGATGAAACGGAGGTATTTGATGAAAATTCCTGACCAACAGAAACAACAGAAAATAATCAACATATATGGGGGAAATTTGAATAAAGCAAGCTCCTTCACCTACCTACCTACCCAGGAAGCATCGTTTCAACTACAGGCGGATGGAACTGATGAGGATATCGAAGCGAGGATCGGGAAAGCAAGTCAAGCTTTCATTACTCTCAGGTCTGTGTGGAGGTCAGCGGCACTCGGCATGAGAATGAAGATAAGATCCGGATTTTCAACTCCAATGTGAAGTCAGTGCTACTCACTATACAGACCAGAGAATTGGCGCCGCATCACGAACGGCACTTCGAACAAACTACAGAACTTCATCAACAGCTGCCTTCTCTCAATACTACTCAAGATCAGATGGTCGGCAAAGAAGATCAGCAACAGGGAGGGATTTCTGGCGATGAACGAACCAATCCAGCAGGAACCGATTGTGCAAAAGATATGCAGGAAGAAATTGAGGTGGATTGGTCATACTCTGAGAAAACAAACCATCAAGTGAGTGACATTACACACCAGGCCATCGCTTGATTGGAACCCTAGTGGGAAGCGGCGGGCTGGTCGTCATTGCGAGAGTGAGATGACATAGAGGAGGAAGTAATGTGAAGAGGAGATGAAAGCAATGAAGACGTTTGGCTGAAGCCCTTTTTTCCTCTACGAGTTAAAGGAAACAATAATAATAATAATTGTGTGGAAATGAAAAATATTTGACTACTACTATTACTACTACTTATATGCATCATAAGTAGTACAGAGAAACTATCCTATAAATTAACATACCATCATTAACTGACTTTTCCTCTTCATCTTCTAAATCATTCGATGTCAAATCGATTTTAATATTAATCAATGCATTATGCAGATTTCCTCTTAAGTTGGCGAACAGTTCAAGTGTGATATCAGATTCTTTATTCAACAATATATCAGATGCACGAAGGAAATCAAACTATAAAAATAAACAGGAAACAAGATAGAAAGAAGTATTTAATCAATAATTACAATTTTGATTGGTTGAAGGATTTCATCATGATCTGGCATCAGTTAGAGAACCACTGGAAAACCTGGAAGTACTGTACACCTGTTTCATCCTAGCTTAGGACTCTTCACAGTGCGCGCCCGCCGGGGTTCGAGCTAGTAGGGTGCAGCAGGTTGAAGGCGAAGCAATAACCTATTGAAGAAGACATTGCGAATTGGTCACACTATATCGTGAATTGGCAGGAGTTAGAATTCATGGACTGGCCATTGGATTGGGTCCCAGTGGCTTAATGGTCTACGAGCTGGGTCGCCTTGTAACCAGAAGGTCCTGGGTTTGAACCCTCTCGCGATGGTAGATGCGTACTGCCGGAGAGTCCCAGACTAGGACGAAACAGTTAGATGTCGAGTACTCCCAAGTTTTCCAATGGTTCTTTAACTGATATCAACTCATGATGAAATCCTCCAACCAATCAAACATAATCCCTACAAAGTCAACTACTTGAAAATTACAATTTTACTGAATGATTCCGAATCGTTTAATATTTCGATTTAAAATAATGATGTTTCCTTAGATCATCAAAATAAAATGTTTGCTGCTCAAGTTATTTGGTGAGTGGGGTCTAGAAGTGGAATCCAGTAGGATGAGCGTTTCGTCGTATTTAGGAGTCTTCACAGTCTACCGAATTACTTCAATCTAATCCTCAGACTAAGTTGAGGCGTCTGTGCTAGAAGTTGCCATGTTGACACACATTGAGCATTTCCGTTCAACGGGAAGATCAAAATTGAATTAAACACAAATAACATTTGCTGCTATTTTCAGAAGAGGGGACTCTCACGGCACAAGTGGTTTGCTGGTTGACTCCTTGGTGCTTGGAACGAAGGTTACTGGATTCGATTCTCTTTGGCAACACCATCACTCATTTGGGAACAGAGTTACGTCTGGTTAACGAGTCCCTAGAAGGACGAAATGCCAACCCTATATTCCACCAAATAAATTAAAGCTTCTTATAGACTACAGACATGATACTGACGCTTTCAAGTCATTCACTGTTATCACCAACCACAAAAATAGAAAGATACTCGCGATTGCACAGTCTTGTGAATTTTGAGTTTATAAACCTGGTCTCTCAGTGTATATAAAACGGAGTGGTGGTCACTTTGAGTATTCCAACGTATTATGCTTTTGCTCATTAACCGTTGTTATTATTATCATCATCATAACCATTTTATTTCATTGCATCTCTTATTGAACAAAACGAGAACGGTAAATGTACCAGGATAAGATGAGCTCAATTTTTTTAAAATAATATTTCGAGGATTCTTCTCAACTGGCTGGCTACAAGCTGAACACTATGAGGAGATATTGGTAGGATCTAAGAGTAGCGTAAGCTGTTGAAAGATTGACTATTTGTGGGAAAATTAGACGATTATGCTTGGAAACAAAAGGACAGCAGAGCTCAACAGATTCTTTTGTGTTTCGAAACAAAGTTTAACTAGGAAGAGTTACGTAACCACATAAAATATGTGTTCATAAAATAGCCGAAAAAGGCCGCGAGTACGTTGAGTCATATTTAGGAGTAAAATAAAGTTAGTTAATCGTTGGATGGTGATTAGCAGAGGATTGCACGATGTGCATTTCGTCCTATTTGGGAATTGTCCGATAGCTGGGTGTACCTGCATTCCCCAGTGAGTGATGATGTTCCCACGGAGTCTCAAAACCAGTGCCCATAATTGCAAACTTCAAAGCGTTGTGCACTAGACCTCTTGGGCCGGTTATATTAGTTATTTAATTCAATTTTAGATTTCCCCCTCGATTGATTGGACCAAGTGTTCCCACATAATCACCCACTGCAGAATGCAGGTACATCCAGCTGGTAGACGAGTCCTAAATAGGACGAAATGCGCATCATGGATTCTACTGCTAGTCACCATCCACCAACCAACTTCTGTATACATGCCCAGACATCACCGGAGCATCTGCACAAGGAGGAGCCGACAAGTCAACGTGAGACTGAGCACTTCGGTCCCACCAATCGACGGGAAAATCTAAAATTGGTAAGGCACATGAGTGAGGTTATCTGGATCCTCTAGGCTTCAGTTCATTATATGTATTTTGTTGCTGTTGTCAATCAACTTCTTCGTCAATAGTTACCTTAGTTTCTTAGTAATCCATCTTTCCGTTGATTCAGCTACATCTCTCTTTGGAATGATTAACTTGAAATGTCTATCCGTCACTCATAATTGATTTGACTTACTGAACATAATTACCTTTGTTCATTATCACAACATCTGATCTCTTTTCAGGTCGGAGAATAACAGCAAACTCATTGTGAGTTAAGTCTCTTAATGTTACTTGTTGATCTTTCGAGAGAATTACAGATTTTGGATTTGGTGATTTCATGTATTGATTGGCAATATCAACAAGTTGAGATTTAAACCAACCTTGTTTCTCTTTATCCACTGGTTTTACTTCAGATAACTGATGATACAGTGCGTCGGTGGCACAGCTCGCCAATCACGCCTTATGTGGTTCGGGGTTCGATCCCCAGCCGACAAGGCACTCATTTACCTCGCTAAGCCAGTAGTAAGTCTGGTAGAGAGGGAAGGTTGGACATAAGGCTAGCAAACCCATCCCGTGGAAATAATCACCACTGCTGCTTAAACTTCAAGCCTCTAGCTTGAAGCCCAAGTAAAAGAATAAAAAATATTAAAAAACGTTGATGATACAAGCCTATGAACCGGAATTTCAACATCAGTTTTATTGATAAATTCCATCGGAATGTAAAACTTAAAACTTAATGAAGGTGTTTCTGTTTCTACCCGACTCAGCTTATAACTTGATAATTTAAACACGTGGTTTTCTGGATTCTCTATCTGTATCTCTGATATGTAATTTTTTCAAAATAATGGTTATTGAACAAAGAATATTTACATTTTCGATAACCTGCTCTTCATCAGGTTCTACAGTTATATGCATCCATAATAGTGAATGAATTAGTGTTGTTGACAACATTAATGCTCGTTTTAATTAACATCGAATCAATAATAATAATATCAATGGATTAAAGTTCATTAGCATCAATATAACAAAACACTGAATATCAGAAGAATTAGGAGAGCTAATAATACAAATTCATGACTTTATTGTCTCTACTGAAGATCGGCCAGGGCAGTAGTAGTCACTAGCTGAACTTTCTCCTTCTGCACACAAAGCACCAGTTGTTTCAGGCTGGTAGCAATAGCTTCTGCTGTTTGGAGCATTTGGTTGGTACCTAGATGCTTTTGGCAACTTATTTGCTACTCGATAGATGATGGAGAAGGATTTCTCAATTCTGGCTTTGTGGCCGCTTTGAACCAGATGTTCTAATATTGAACTCTTGATGGTTTTCACTACACCCTTATATTAGCCACACTGGTGGATGTTCCCGAGCAACCACGAAGAATCAAGTTCCTAGAGCGACGACTAATATAACTTGCTCCACAAGCGCAGTTGAATTGGTAGATACGATTAGAAGTGAGGAATCACCATCGGTCGCGTGGAAAATAAGACATTTAGTTTGCCTAGCGAAATAATTACGAAGAAGTTAAGAAAGTTGTTTTAATGCTGGCCCATGAAAGTTGAACAGACTTTTTCTTTATACAAGGATTCTCGATTTCGGTGGCCAAAACTTCAACAGTACAGATAAGTCGGATGATAGGTAATGATTTTCGCAGGTTACTTTTCGCCTTGTAGGTAACTTTAAAGTAAGGAAGGCTGTAGAGACAAATTGGGTAACCAGTATCGATCAGATATTCAGTGATTACGCTGCTTATAACCGCAAAACTACCACTTCTTCGTAACCAGACCGGATAATGTTCTAGCACCGTCTTCGACAAAAACCCCGTTCACCTTTATTTATTTAATTATTTCAACATTTTGCTTTTACAATGCTGTCTTCTCATATTTATCACCTTATTGCGCAATACTTTAATTGCCTTCCTAATCTTATTATTTCTGAAAACGCTTTTGGGACTTGTACATTTCACAAATTATTCATATGAACGCTGATCAAGATTTGACCGAACAGTTCCAAAATAATTGGGCACCGAGTGAGAAGTAGACATATGTGAAAAGTCCTATTTGTAAAATCTCAGTGAAATTGAAATAATAAATTTCAATGTTTCCTGAGTTCGGCAATCTGGTCCGAACTTCTTCGGGGAAATATATGACAGCACCTACTTTTCTAACACCTTCAAACACTGTTCAGCTTTACCTTTGCTACCGACATGCCAATGTGCTGTTGTAATAATGAACTGAGATTTCCTTAATCTATGTAGAATTCTATTTATTGATAATGTACTAACTGGATGCAATACTGTAGTAAAAATGCTGAGAATTCCATTCTGTATCACAAATACTGTTTTGGAATAAAGCAAATTATTATTATTAAAGAAATTAATCGAAATTAACATAATGGAGATTTATACATAAAAAGCGGAACATCTTCATTATTATAAAGGTTTTTGTATTTCCCAAAGAATGAAAAACAAAACGATATTGTTGTGTTTACTGACGTTTCGCTATTTATTGCTGCTAATAGCTTTATCAAAGTATTACTAAACAGGAATTTACAAAATCTCAGCATATATATAGCGAAGAGTTAAGGGGCGAGAAAATAGACTTAGGTCAAGTTAAAAGGACATATTGAAAGTTAAAATACCGATGAAGATCACTAAACCAAATAACAACGGTAATACATATGAACTGTGATCAAGATTATATAAACAAAGGTAATAGTACATCTGTTTTACACACTGATCAAATCCAACAATCTACACTTGATTTTGTTATCTTTACCAATTGACCAATTTGACAACGAAAAATGGCCCCAGACTAACGAACGATGATCAAGTAAACTTTATTTTGATATCATAACAGACGTACTATTACCTTAGTTATTTGGTTTAGTGACCTTCATCGGTATTTTAACTTTAAATATGTCCTTTTAACTTGACCTAAGTCTATTTTCTCGCCCCTTAACTCTTCGCTATATATATGCTGAGATTTTGTAAATTTCTGTTTAATAATACTTTGATAAAGCTATTAGCAGCATTAAATAACGAAACGTCAGTAAACACAACAATATCGTTTTGTTTTTCATTCTTTGGGAAATACAAAAACTTTTTTTATAATGAGATCAAGTATGTTTAATTAGTGTTACATATCTACTTTATATTTATTAATCAGGATTTGCCATGCATCAGCTAACAAGATCACACCTTCATGCATGTCCAAGCTTTCGGGATTCACCCATATGTTTGTTGGGCTTCTGTAGTCAGTTTTTCTTTATACGAACGAAAACCTTTCTGTAGAATCTTAGTCCTATCAATGTCAAATTTTATTCGGCTTGTACCGATGTGTTTTCCAGCTACTTCATGTCTGCAGAGGTCTTTGGAATCTGTTGCGAAAGTATACACTTTAAAAAAGTAGTGAATTGCTATGGGACGGAGTTTCCTGGAGTTCTGGTGAGAAGTCGTGACCAGTGAGGTCCAATTAGATGTCACGTGTGTGGATGGATGTCCCACTGACGACACTGGTTGGAGTCGCGCTAAATCACGAATTGGTAAAATTCATGGACTGGCCATTGAATCGGGTCTCATTGGCTGAATGGTATACGAGCTTGCCTTGTAACCGGAAGCTCATGAGTTCGAACCCCTGGCGATGTGTGCGTACTGCCGATGATTCACGAACTAGGATGAAACAGCTGGCTTTCCATTACTCCGAGCTGGTTTTCAATGGTTCTCTAACTGATATCAATCCGTGATCAACTCGTAAAAGTAGCCTAATAATTGCAGTTCTGTGATGAAATTTTGATCACGGTCCATGCAATTTTGTCTATTATATTTTGATGTCTGTTCAAATAGTAGGGAGATAAATTTTGATGTCAGAGAAAGCAAATGATACAGAGTTGTGGAGATACATGGGAGACGTGAAAGCAACACAAAGAAACACAATATAAGGGAAGGTGAGAAGTTTCACAACACGGAAGATCTTTGCAAAAGGCGCACTGAAGATAAGGTGTACATAGTTTTGGCTATATTTCTCTGACATCACATCTATCTCCCTGTTACTCGGTGTTTTTATGTCAACGAACATCTCCCTGTACATATACTACGGATTAATCTTATCAGTAATACATTCCACAAAGTTTTTAAAGACAAGCTGTGTTATTTTAACTTTGATCAATTTCCGGAAGAAATTCGGAGTATTATTCCGAACGCAAAAAACGTGGAAATTACTTATTTCAATTTCACTGAGACTATACAAATCTAACTTTTAAATTTCATAATTTACTTACATAAAGTACAAAAATAACTAAGTAACTAACTAATTTAACTAACCTGTTCTAGAACTGGTAATTTTGTTAAACGTTGTTTAATTTGTAAATCAGTTAGTGGTCTCCTTCTCTCCAACTCAAACATTTCAGTAGTATATCACTTCACAGGCGTCTTGTAGGAGTGTTACACACAAGTTCACAGTCAGTCACACTGACAGTAGGAAATACGTTGAAAACAGCTATCCTTACCACACAGATGTTGCATCAGGTATTTATATTAGGGGAAAGTATAATGTGGAAAACAATAAATTTGTATTGGATTAAACTTTATTTATTTATTTGTTTAAATGAATTAAGAGTACACAAATTATCACTATAGTAACGCTTATTTTGTTTATACATACATATAGGAAATATACAGGTTAGTTAGCGTATGCACTTTAAACAAGGTTGTCTATCTATCTAACTGTCAGTGGGATTAATTGATAATAACATATATTATTATTATTCCCTTGAGTTACGAGGGGAAAATAGGCCTTTCACAACATATTTCCACTTTAGAATTAAATTGGTGGATGGTGAGCAGCAGTGGAATCCAGGATGTGCATTTCGCCCTATTTGGGACTCGTCGGCCAGCTGGATGTAGTGGATAACGCTTTGGCGTTTGAAACTATGGGCACTGGGTTCGAGCTTCGGTGACAACATCATCACTCACTGCGGAATGCAGGTACACCCAGCGAGCGGACGAGTACCAAATAGGATGAAATGCGCATTCTGGCTGGATTCTACTGCTAGTCACTATCCACCAATTAACTTCTAATTACATGCCCAGACATCGTCGAAGTATCTGCACAAGGAGAAGGCGACATGTCATCCTGAGACCGAGCAGCTCGGTGCAATCAATAGACGGGAGAATCTAAAATTCAATTAAATATTTCCACTTTATTCTGCCCTCTGCTGTCCTCTTCAGCTGGCTAGCCACACGATTGCCCATTTACTCACACCAATTCGCAATTAATAAGCATGTCGATAGATTATTATCATTATTATAGCTTGATTCCACACAGTATTTTTGATACAACTGTGGAATTTTCAGCATGTGATGTCGGTAGCCCAAATTTAGCAGGCCGACCATTGATATCAGATGTGGGTCGGCCGACGATCAAATTCTAGACCATATGCATGGTCGACGAGCATCCTAACCGCTGTGCCACCGACACACAAGCCAAGTGCGTCACATATCAAATAGTTCATACCATGTATAGATCTTGGAAAAGGTATGTAAACTTAAGATAAATATTTGTACTTCTGATTGTATTTACACAGAACTTTCTTCCTTAAAAGCAACGCTTAATGAAAATGACCAACTAAACTGATTTTTTGATACTAACACTAAAGATAAACATTCTCAACTAGTTGCTAATTCACTTCTAAAGAAAATAATCTACATGAACCCGGAATTCAAAGGTGATCAGGTATCTGACATGTACAAAAATCATATTTGTAAATCAGTCAATAAGAAGCACTTTGTGAAGAAAGTCTAACTGCCCTTTCAACAGCCATAAGTTTTCCACCGTCACTGTAGAAGATAAACTCCCTCATCTCACTGCCTCTATGTACACCCATCAGTTCATTATAGTCACACAGAGTGAACGTACCAGTGTAGTTTCACAAGTGAGAAAGGAAGGGTGTGAAAAGTTCTATTCTAGAACACTTTATCGACGTCTATCATTTAACCAACCCTGACAATAATTTTTTGAGATCATCTATCAAATTCATGCTAACATGTCGCATTTTATTCATTCTAAACTTGTAAAGACACAGCAGCCACAGATCATTATTGAATTCAAACTAAAAGGAGTGTACACACTATACAATATACAGTCCCTATTCCGTGGGAGAGATTTAACAGAAGTTTCCCCCTTCACTTATCTGGTTAGGAAGCATCGTTTCAACTACAGGAAGCCGGAACGGATGAAGGCGTCAAAGTCAGAATCGGAAAGGCAAGATACGCAGGTCTTCATCAACTTGAAACCAGTTTGAAAATCTTCTGCACTGACAGCATAAGGAACAAGATTAGCATTTCTAACACCAGTGTGAAGTCAGTTCTTCTATACGGGTCAGAAACTTGGCCAACGTGTCACGAAGCGGTTTCCAACAGCCTGTTGCAGACTTTCATCAGCAGCTGCCTTCGCTGGCTCCATACTGAAAATCAAATGGCCAGAAGGAATCAGCAACAAGGAACTATGGGAATAAACCAATAGGCGAGAGCCAACAGCTCAACAAATATGTAGGATAAAATGGATATAGATGGATCGGGCATATATTCAGGAAGCCGCCGAATGACATAGCACGCCAGGCCAGTGCTCGAATGGAATCCAAATGGGAAGCGATGAATGGGTTCTTCAGTGCGAGAGTGACACGGAGGAGATCGTTTGGTGAGGAGGAGATGAGAAAGTTTGGTCAATCGTGTGGCTAGCCAGCAGAAGAGGACGGCAGAAGATAGGACAAAGTGGAGATGTGTTGTTGAAGCCCTATATTCCACTTGGAACGCAAGGGAATAATAATAATATGGATAATATTCCACCTTGAATGTAGGGGTATAAACATTTATTTATTTTTCAATTTCTTAATTTAGTAAATCTCACTCATTTCCGGTATTATTTCACGTGTCCACTGTGTCATTCTAAATCATTAAAAAATTTTTCCAATATCAAATTCTTCGCTGTTTTTAAATTCATGGAAAATTCCCAATGGGACATAAAGATAATAAAAACAAGTGATGATTCAGCGAAGAGACTCTTTCCAACAACGAATTTATTATCAAGCTATACAATCGTATATTAACATGCTTTTTAAGAAGTTACATCCGGTGAGGGAATCGAATCATAGGTGTGAATGCATAAAATAATAATAATAATATGAAGTGCAATTAAAACTAAAATGTTTGTGATTATAATCGTAGTTAAATGTCAAGTGGCAAAGCAAATTAATGTAATATATAGAATAAATCATAGGATGGAAAGAACTTGGAAAGCGTGTGCAATTATAGGATTAGTAGACAAATTGAATAAAATAAAAACGTTACACAACATTGTGTGAAATTTCGATAACATAGAATTTAATGTTGTAAAAAGGAATTGATTTAGAATGACAAGTGGAACAAGTGAAATAATACCAACGACAGCTCAAAGTGAGAATGGCAATAGTAACACTTGATGTAATGAAGGAAGAGTATACAAATTGAATAGACAAAATGAAAAAATTGGTAGAGCCAAAATACGATTAGGGATTATCACACTTTAGCATAGAGGAGGGATTAAGTCAATGAATGTAGGAAGGGTTGAATGAACCTTTTCTCTATATAGAGATCTGGCTTTTCTGTTTCGATGTCCAGAGCTGCTTCAGCAATAGAACAGATGCGTCGGATACGTAGTGACTAGGGAAAAATACTTTTCGCCTTGTAGATGACTTTAAAAGTTCAGGCTGTAGGGATAGGGTGATCAGTATCGACCAGATGTTCAATGATCACGCTTCTTATTGCTTCACTTCCACCTCTTCGTAACCATGCAGGATAGTGTTCTAGCACTCTCTTGGACAAAACTCGAGTCGAACGACCGATATACCTAGCTCCACAAGGGCAGGAGAATCGATAAACGCACATAGAGCTGGCCAACAGCGGGATTTTGTCCTTCACGTTATTGAACAACAGTGATTGACTAGAAAATAGTTTTATTTTATTCACAAACATTTTAATTGCATTTCATACTACTATTATTATTTTATTTATTCACATCTATGATCCAATTCCCTCACCGGATACAGTTTCTTAAAAACCAAATATACATATATATACATGTATATAAATATGGAAGACAAAAGTGATAATAATAATGATAACAATTTCTTTATTATGCACAATAAGTTTACACAATATGCATAATTTCCAACATAGTTTACGGCATAATATTTTCCCTTCATCCAGGAGTTTCAGTTAAAACAGCCATCTCCAGTATACTATGCGACTTGACGCAGTGCTTTTACATCTGAAAATGAAAATAATCCTTCATGGTATTTTTCTTTGGTCCCCCAGAATTAAGCAATGGCGAACCACGGACGTAACTGGATGATTGCAACAACAAGAACCGAAGAAAAGAAGATGCATCATCTCGGATTGAAATTCAGGTAGCCCAGTGATTCAAGCAGGTCTCCAATGTCAAAATAAAGTGAGGACCGTGCGGCTTCCCACTGACAAAAGCTACACTCCCGTACTCACCCGATTAGGGTCCGTGAAAAGTTTCAACTCACCGAGATGGAATGGTAAGCATTCTTAGTCACCTTGAACCAGACTGTAGGTAAGTTATCTAACCAACAAGCGTCGGTCATCATCAACTGGAGAAATCTAGAGAAAGGCGTTCGGTATTTACCAGATTAATTTTCTATAGTTTGGTTTGTAAGGATTAGTTATGTTTTACGAGTTGATCACGGACTGATATCAGTTAGAGAACCATTGAGAACCAGGGAGTACTGGACAGCTGCTGTTTCATCCTAGTTTGGGAATCATCGGCAGTACGCACCCACTGGGATTCGAACCCAGGACCTTCCGGTTACAAGGCAAGCTCGTATACCATTAAGCCACTGGGACCCGATTCGATGGCTCATGAATTCTAACTTCTACCAATTCGTGATTTTAGCGTGACCCCAACTGTCCAGTACTCCCTGGTTTTCAATGGTTCTCTAACTGATATCAGTCAGTGATCAACTCGTAAAATTTACCAGATTACCTTAGTCTGGTCGGCTAACAAGCACTACTACAATTTGATAGAAGTGACGTACAACTACTCAAATCAAATAATCAGTAGTATATAATTTCAAAAAGAAATCATCTCAGCATACTTTAGTATGTGCTTCTGTGCAAAACGATATTACTTTTCAAATCTTTAAATAATCCCATTCATAATATTAGAACAAGACATAAAAGCGAACAATATTGTTTTCAATTAGATCTTCTTCAGGCTTTACTCTAATTTACATAGATTTATATATAAAATTTTAACCAATGACGGTGATTTTGGGAATCAAATAATAATCTTAATAGTCTTCATAATAATAATAATAATAATAATAATGAAACAATTAGTCCCTTTGATAAATTTGAATAAGGCATTAAGAAGACAAATTTCGCGAGATGATATCATTTCGTAGTTTCTTTACAACCGCTTTACAACTAACATGGTTAACAATAATAAAATAAAGTTC